AACGAGTACTGTGACATTAATTGGGGGGCTACGAACTCGAAAGCCAACTGAAATGACAAGCAACGATTGTATGAATAATATTTTAACTGCAACTAACTTAACTGGCGAGTGTGAGTTCCATGAGATAATAGAAATGTTGTTTTCGTCGAGTTCCAAAGCGTTTAGGAAGTAAAATAGAAATTTTGTGTTGAATGTTGTACACCCTTAGTGGGTTAAAACGTCCGAAATATATTTTAATTTTACATAATGTAAACAGTAACAACATGTGTGGAATTTTTAAAATTGATTTATATGTGTAATATATAAGAGTAAAAAACACTACAGACTCAGTTTGTGGGCTACTGTTTTTTTTTTCATCGACGCGAAGCTTTTGGTTATTATTCATTGTTTTACTTTATGCTATTTCATTTTACCCTCATAAAAGTCTTTATGTAAAACACATACGTTAAAACTTTGTTTTATGTATTTTCTATAGTGTAAGGGTAAAAAATACCTATAGGTATTTTTTTACCGTTAAATGAGCAATTAAAATTTGAAATGTTAACTTTTAATTGCTCATTTAATATTATCGATAAGATGTATTTCACTGAACATTTTAATCTATACATTTTGTTTTCGTAAGGGAAATCATTAATTTATAATTGTTAAGTTTATTGCATTTTGTCGTAGTAGACTTAACTATGTTCATTCATTAATCAAAATGAAAGAAGTTTCGCATTATATATATTAGGTTATATTCATTTGGGTTTATAATACATGTTATCGTCAGAATAGAAAGTGTAAAATCTTTAACTGGCCTTTGTCGTTGGCGAATTAAATGAAATAGAAACCGCCCGGACGTGTAGCTTTCATGCCACTTAGTATAAGAACCGTATTTGAACGAAACCGTTGTATCTATGTTAATGACCGTTTCAGATCCTCAGGGGATAAAAAAAACTTGTCTGGTAGTTTTATATGCAATGTGACGCCATACCTTCTGGGAAAATTGATGTATTTGTTAATGTAGTTTAACCGAAATCGTCTAAAGGCTACCGAAACGCCATAGTTTAATTGAATTAAAATTTCTCTGGAAGGTCCTGCTGTGCGGCCAGAGGAGCTAAACGAGAATAATAATAATTATCATTATAGTGAGAAACGTCCCTGTACGTATCGGTTTGGATGAGCTCGTTCGTTAATATTTCATTAGACACGCTGTTCGTAAACTCGACGATCTATGATGTAATAATAATGTGCTTAAGATCTATGTAATGCATTGAACGCTCACAGAAAGACTACATGCATGTCGCTTGCAAAACAATCCAGCCATATCGCGATGCTGATGTAATTAATAATGATCGAACGTTATGGCCGCGGCGGTGAAACGAAAACCACCGACCTGAATACTAAATTCGTTAAGTTTGCAATGCTGTTATTATTATTATTCGGTTTGTTAATAATTACCTTTTGCCTTACCTTCTGACGGTTTGCCTGTTAGAGATTACTTGGCCGCAAAACCTTTGTACAACAAAAGGCTTCTTCATAGTAGACCACAAAAAATCCCTCTGGGTCAAAATTCTGTCTTTGTCGTCTAAGAAGGCTAATTATCGTACTAATTTTAGACGAGAAATACCGAATAAAAGTTGTATGCCTTCAAACAAGAAATAACATGAACTTTTACTTTAAAACGATAGTTTTTGAAATAACTGTCAAAGCAGATATTAAAATAAAAATATGTACTTTGATATTATATTGACTTTTTAACTCTTTTATATACATTGAAAAGTACTTATGTTAAATAATTTAATTCTATTTCTTATTTATATCTTTGCTATTAAAAATTAAACAACTTGAAAGATAATCAAATAGTTACTACATTGCAATTTCTTTAAATAAGTTTTATCATAAAACTATTAGCCGTTAAATTTTGATAAAGTCAAGGAGAAATGTATCATCTATTTTGATTAGTGAAGATTGAATTCGAGATTTTTCAGAAACTTTTACCTTATTTGGAAATATGTGAAGTATGAATCATACAAATAAATAAATATGAACATATTTATTTATTTACGAACATACAAAATTTGCTGCTTCTACATTTTTAAATTAAATTTTATATTTTAATTTCACAGAATCAACTCACAAAATAAATTGATCATTTTATATATTATTCATTATATATTATATATTCTTTCAAATAGTTCCATTTAAATTGACAGATTTATAAAGTTACCTCTGGGGAGTTATGCTGTTAAGAATATCTTTCTGTTTAGAAAGGTAACAATTCTGACTCTTGTATATTTAGCAAACTGTCTGGTAGCTTTTTGTTATTAATGGCAACAATATATTTCTTTCTTCCCTTCTTTCCTTTATATACTAAAATAGTCTATACAAATATATCTGTGTATGTGTATATATGCATAATCACTTTTTTTAAATTGTATTACAAAGCTAGTTGTCATGATAGTAAGCCTATTGGTAATATACGATAAATAAAAATTATTTCGTTAATAGTTTTAGTAAATTTTTACAAATTAAATATTTAAAAGAGAATGAGTGACTAAAAGACATTGAGTACTTATTGAAGTACAAACTACATTTGTTTAATATAGGAAATAATCATAACAAAGTAACAATATATAATTATAATAACAAATAAAATATTCAAAAATAGTATTTTTTGAAGAGTTATTTCGTTAACTAAGGGGGCTAAGCTAAATTACTTGTTGCGTCTATAGCTTGGCCTCCAAAAAAAAAAACGCGAGTCCCTAACCGAGATTTCCGGTCATCTCCTTCATCGCTGGGTTTGTTGAATGAAATATTTAAAAAAATATTTTGCCCCCGTAAAAAATTTTCGTGGACGCCTTTGTGATCTTCTGAAAATTTTTATTTAGTTCTACAAATGCCTCAATTTATTTTCATACCAAGATACTTTTTTTATTAATAATAGAATTTAGTTATTGTTATTTCGTATCTCAAATAATGTTAACAACCGTAAAACTTATTTTATCATACTGCTATTTCAAGGCTGTGTGACACATAGCAACAAGTGAAACTGATTAACAACCTTAAAAAGGTTTAATTTAAATAAGTTGATTGAAGGAGTTGATTAGCTGTTAAATTTGATTTCTAAACTAAAATATAAGGTAATATGATAAAACACCATATATAAAAATTGGTAGGCTTCTAAAATTTCTTTTTTTTTTTAAATTATTTTTCAACAAAAGACTGAAAAACGTGTTATGAATAATATACTATAATATTTTAAATTATCTTTAGCTAAAAAAATGATTGTTTTAGCCTTTTTTAATTTTTTTGCTATGATACGCCATAAACATTATCTGACCTAATTATACATAAGCTAACATAGAATAATACTTTATTATATTTGTTTAGCAGCACGTTTATTTTAATTATGAAGAGCATGAATATTCTCGTATGACATATTTTTAAATTTTTTTATTTTACAGTTTACTCAAAAATTTTATCATGAAATACATCAGTTAACCAAAAGCCAATAAATTCTTAATTGTTTAATATTTTATATTTGTACTTGATTACTGATTATTACATTTAAAAAATGAACAAATATTTACTTTTTTATTTCAAACAAATAGTTAGTATTTATGAATTTTACTCTTTAAGCCAAAAAAAAAACTATAAAATTAATTGCCTGATAGCTGATAAGTATATTAAGTGAAGTATGTAGTACTTTATTATTTCAAACATATTATCCGACATTATCTTTAACCGTTCAGGTCGTGAAATAAATCACCTCAACCATGTTATCTCAATTTTATAGCCTCTTATACTCCTAAAAACGTTCGCAATTACATTTAAGATGGCGAGACTCCTTTAAACGACAATCTTACAGTTTTTATTTACAACTTTGCCTGCAAAATTAATTTCAAAATAGCCATATTTAGTACTTTTTACCAAAAATATGACATTTATTTACTTCAAGATACTGTAAATAGTCTATCGAACTACATGCCATTTGTATATTGGATTTCAAAACTTAAAAATATAAAGTTGAACGAGGTGTCAAATACAGATTTTACTTTTTATTTTATTCACTTTAAGTTTTTTTTTTCAATTTTTCATGTATGTTGAAAAAGATAATTTATTAAAATGTGCTTTAAAAAGAGTGACGACTAAACCATTCCTGTTTTAGTTATTCAAGGGTTCTGTGATGTATACAGTCTGCTATATTACCTTTTTTCATTATTATTTTTAAAAACTAAACATTTTTCATTGACAAATACTTATGTCAAATGCAGAATATAATTTTAAGTATTCTTAGCTTTTATAAAAAATATCATTAACTTTACTTTTATTACAAAATTATGTCAGGGTTGATAGTGACAATGTAGGCGTTCTCACGGTGGTCAATATGGCGGATAGAATTTTACACGATAAAAATAAATACTTCGTTAAGATGTATTTTGAAAGGGAGTAGTAAAAAAATTTCTTATATATATATATATATATTCTTTCAAGACGAAATCCTTAAAAGCACACAGTTATTTAACGGCGTTTATAGTAGGCAATTTCGGTACATAGATGTCATAGGTTGTTATATTAACAAAAAAATTAATCAATAAACTTTGGGTTTCTATTATTGATAATTAGAGAATAAAATGTATTGTAAATTTATTTTTGTTAGATAAATATCAATGAAATCTAATGATGAAAATGGAAGTTTAATGATATTATGAATAATCTATATATAAGTTATCATGAATAATTTAATTTAAAAATGATATAAAACAAGAGCCTCGTAGAAAAATATATCATAACTCAAATGGCCCTTTTGGAAATACACAAATAATTTATTATTTTAAATTGGAATTAGTGACTAATTTATAGATGAAAAAAGTGGCTCGTACATCATATTTAAAAATATTTCTTAATAAATTATCACTTACCTTTAAGTTAATTAAAAATAATTAACTTAAATTTTAAACCACATTTTTATTGTATTGTAAATTAATTTCTTAATTACCAACCAACTTATTTTTCAGTTTAAGAAGCATTCAAAAACAATTTGTTCTTCACACGAAGATTGTGATTTAAGAATATTATCTTTCATGTAAGTAAATAGATTATAAATCAGTAAACTAAGAAGTTATTTTTGCGTGATTTATACTGAAATATTGTTTTAATTTGAATTCATATTGATAAAATAAGTGACTCTTTCATTGTTAAATTTAATAATTTTTTGTTGAAACTCTCTACATTGTACTTAATTATTAGAAATGATCAGTTTTATCAACGTAATTATTATTTTCAGGCCAGTGTCTGGTGAAGCTACTTTTGAATTATATTACCGGAAGACAGGCTTCAAACATTTACAGGAAATATTAAGTAACATTAATTCTACAGGATATTTACCAGCTCATAAACCTGTACCATTGATAAACAATTCTTTGTTACTTCAATCTGAACCAATGCTTTGGATAAGTGTATGAATATTCTATTGTGAACTAATAAAATACATTTTACTTTTTTAATAATCAATAGCGTACATCGGTTTTTAGAAAATGAACTCAAATGTTTATAAAGACACTTTGAGAGTGGGTGAGCTTTTAATGGTATCTTGTATTGCACAAGGTTCTTCTGCTATTCAATATAAATGGTATAAAGATGGTTATCTAGTAAATACCTCAATAGCTTCAACAAGGTACAATATACATATACAGAAGTGGTCCAGTATGTTCTGACCACTCTTATAACTTTTGATACAATGAACATTTCGTTGTAATGTTTTTAAACAATTATTAAATTTTTAGACATAATTAAAAACATATTTTTTATTATTTGTCACTTATATCAAAAAATAAAAATATATTAGTCTTTTATTATTTAGAGAATAATTATTATTTTCATTATTATTATCATTATTATTTACTATTTTTTTTTTTTTTTTAAATTTTGATATAATTAAAAAATAGAAATAATGTATTTTAATTGCTTTATTATTAAATGGAAAAAAAATATGATCTTAAAGGATTCTAACATCTCATAAATTGTTTAAAAAAAAATAAAGTGTAATGTTAATTGTTTTTAAAACTTATAAAAGTAACCAGACAATGCTGACACACCTATACTGTATAGTTATTTTCTAAAATTAATTCCATGTACGGTAATTTAATAGATCAATTTGGACTAAAGTAATAAAAAATGATAAAACTGAAAAAAACTTTATTCTTGTGATTGAACATGTTGACCCTAGCGATTTTGGAATGTATACTTGTGAACTGACTGATCGTGGTCGTCAGCAATGTAAGTCAATCATCATATCAATACCTCCTTTACCAGAAGTAGTCGTGAAACCTTCAATTACAGTTCAAAAAGTAATTTTTTTTTTTCAACATTATAATAACTCTTTAAGGTAAAATGTCATTTATTTTTGTTTTAGGGCGATAGTGTAGCAATAGTATGTGTTTCAAGAAATGAATATACGAAGTTTGGTTATACTTGGTCCTATAATAATAATTTGGTACCTATGTCACCACCAGACCTTTACTGGGAAGACTTACATCGTGGTGGTATTATACTTCATGTTAAAAATATTCAGGTAAATTGTTCAATTTAACCTTAAATTCAAACTCACGTTCACATAAATTTTATTTTCTTGAAGTTATTAACTTGACAGATACCACTTGAAAGTTTTTTAGGAAAAATATTTCATGAATTTTGACTTTAATAATTAATTTAGAAAGTAGTTGCATTAAAACTCCCATTTTGCGTTTTCTTTTTTTATTAATCTCAAAAATCACTTTTTATAATTTTTTCATTTTTATTTAAAATAGAGATCAGAAAGATATACTTGCGAAGTTACATGCCCAGCAGGAAATAAAAAAGAGCATACTGATATTTTTGTACTTAATACTACTACTACAGCATTTTGTGATCCTGATGGTGTTTGGCCATTGACTATGGCAGGCACATTGGCGTCAATTGATTGTCCAAAAAGATTGATGAACTATGCTACTCGATACTGTGAACTAAAAGCACCTAATTACACTGAATGGCATGCAGCAAATTATTCAGCATGTGTCCCACATTACCTACGAAAAGTAACTCAAAATGTAAGTAGTAAACTTTGTAGGATTAAATTTAATTTAAAACATGTATAAGATTTAAAAATAAATAACGGGAAATTATTATTTAAAACGTTTTTCCTGAAACTTCATCTATAATTTTTTGTGTTACTATTTATGATTTTGTATTAACTCATTGCACTGTAACTTCAAAGTGAATGAATTAAATTATAAACAAAAATTAAAGTTTTAAATTTACGTATTCATATATATGCGCTATACTATTGACTTGTGATCTTCTAGTTTCATGTCAGAACATTGGGTTTTGAACGAGAGTCTACAGCTGCTAAGACGTTAAATTCTTTGAAATATCACATGCAAAAGACCGATGAATGGTACCCAGGCGAAGGGGAATCTATAGTCGAGTTCTTATCATCAGTTACCAATTTTCTCCAAAATTCAAATCAGTTAGAAGATTTAGACGAAGCAACGAGTAGTTTTAATAACATATTAGATGTTTTACTTAAAAATAAATCAATTATTACTAAAGAAGTGAGTTAATTATTGACAATATTTAAAAATAACTATTATTTCTATATTTTTAAATTTATTATTATTTATTTTGTTTGTAGAAAATTGAACAAATCATAAAAATGATTGAAAAGTGGGTGTTATTGAGAGCATTTTATTTAGTAAAGCAGAAAAACAAACAGCGGTTGAGTTTTAATATAGATGAAATTTTTATTGATTCTGCTTCAGAGATTGTTAAGAAATTACCCGGCAAAAATTTAACTTTCGATTTTTTCAATGATGAGTAAGTACTATGGCTGATATCATGTTAAATATAATATTATTCGCACAACAAAATTTTTTGTTCAATAGTGATAGTATGTTGACTACGCAACCACCAAAAGTTACTGTATCCATTTACGATATTGACATTGATAAATGCATTAACAAATCATTCAACGTGGGTGTTATAATATACAACAGCTTACCAGAGTTTTTTGAACTGAATTATGATATGACCATAATTAGGTAATTTTCTTCATTAATATTTAATAACATTAAAATGAAATTCTAAGAAAATTTCGATTAAAGAATATTGTAAGCCAAACATTATTAACGTTTAAGCAATAATTTAGTCGAACTATTTAATAAATAAAAAAATATGTTAACAATTTATTATTGTTTCATACTTATTATTTGAAAAACTTTTCAGTTAAATTTCGACTGTCTCACCATAAATGATTCTTTTTGATCATTTAACACGTTTTAAAAGCATATTATTTGAAACTGTTCAAATTTTAATTGAGAACTGAAATTTAATCTAATTGCACTATGCATGTTGTCCTTTATTTAACTGGGATATAGTGATCAATTTTGCCATTATGTCACGTATTTTATTACTTTTCTTTTTGATTCTTAATCTCTATTTTATACCAGTTGTTATTAAGTTATTTGATACAATGCTCTTTAGTAACAAAATCTAATAACACAACTAAATAGTTATCTTTCTGAAATTCATTCATGCAGAATGCCTGTCAATTTTAGTTTTCATGTTATTTACTATTATTTAGCAATTGCGTGCGTCATCCACAATTAATTAAAATAATATACATTAAATAAAAACAATTCAAATTATAACATTTAAAATATTTGAATTTGTTGTAACAATATATTAAGATTGTTTATTATTAGTGTGAGTTGATTTTACTGATACTTTATAATATTTTGGTTAACAAACGACTAACAAACTATATATTATAAAGTAATAAAGAATTAAAATTTAATATTGAACTTTTATTAATAAACGTATAACAAAACTAAATAAAAGCAGCTTTTAAAATTTTGAATCATTTAAATAAAAGTTATGTGATCGTTCACAATAAACTTAATTTCTTAAAGTGAATAGTTTCTATCAACTAATCACCAAGTTGTGTGGTATGCTCAATACGGTGAAGTTAAATATGTTCTTTAAAAATATATGTTACATACATTTAAAAATAAGGGAACTTTCAAACAAATTTTTAAGTGAACCAAAAGTTTAAAGTATTGTTATTTATTATAAATTTATTTCAACTAATAAATGGTTTTATTGAATGAAGCTACATAAAATCAATATAACAACGTAAAATACGCTGAATGATGTTTCATTGTATCTTTACTTATTTTAATACATAACTCAAAGTTTTTTATTGTTAATTTTTATTGCAGTGGTTCTACAGACTTTATGAGCTTGAAAACACCATTGGTAACAGTTAGTGTAGCGCGTGACGGTCAACGAATACGTTCAAACTTTTTACCTCCAATCGAAACGATAATCGATTTTAATCTTAATCTGCCGGACATCAATGGTACATGGAATTTAACTTGTACTGTCACGGATTTTGTGGGCAACACTTGGAATACGACTGCTTGTAAGATAATCACTGGTGTTGGTTCACTTAGAAACGTCACTCGATGCCAATGTCCTTCGGCTGGTGTGTTTGCCGTGTACACTGCAATCATGCCACGGGTTAGTAATTAAATTTTGTATCTTACTCAAAAACAATTTATCTTTTCCCAACGATAATATTCCACTTAACAAATAAATAATTGATCATCAATCGCCTGTCAAATCGTTTAATAATTTTAATAATATTTTCTGCTCGTTCCCTCATTCAATTCAATAACAAAAAGTCAACGCATTTTATATTTCACGAAAAGAAATATTATTTCTCTATAAATTATAATAAAGTCTCAGATATTGAGAATAATTGGAAATGAGGTATTTTTTTCACTGGTGCATTTTTGAATCTCATAAACTCCTTTCACGGAGTTTATTATACAATTTGGTAAATCTCTTGGAAAAGCTTTATTTTATTTTATAAAACATTAATATAACGTGGAAATTTTCCACGGTAATGTTACACTTAACAAATGCTACCCATTTAAGTTGAGGTATTTCCAGTACAAAAAGTCTAAAAATATATTCTATTTAAAATGGTGAAGTTTAATTCCGAATTTAAAGTAACTTAATGAAAAAGTTATATTAACATAAAAAATATTATATAAATGAACTGTAACGGTATTTTTTTGAATTGAATAAAATAATAATGTTAAAAAAATTAATATTTAGATAATTAAACAAATAATAATGTAGTCATTTTATAATTTTCTTAAATAGTTTTTAATAGTTGAAGAAATTATTTCATTTAATTTTTTCATTTTTTGTGTTATTATCTGAAAATAAGAAAGGTATTTAAACATTTTATTCACAAACAAAACGAAGTATTTAAGCCATAAATTAAAATTTACTATAGCAAAATGTGTGGGATACTGTTAGTTTCAAACTCCGTTTGAATTAACGCAATCGCTGGGAAATGTCTCTGCATAGTAATATTGTTTTGTTAATGTTTCTTAAACAAGAAGTTTTTGTATAATTTTTAATTTTTTATATAGGTTCTACAGCTCACACAAACAACAAAAGATAATTTAATTGTGATACTTGGATGCGTTTGTTGCCTTATTCTATCTGTTTTGACATTTATACTATTGGCTATACGATGGGCTAATGAGCAAACATGCATTTTATACCTAAAAATTCAATTATGTTTAGCTATTGCTACTCAAATGTGCACGTTTCTATTGGCGATTAAAATTGTAATATTTTAAAAATTAAACAAAAAGTATTTTTCAGTGTATAACACTAATTATTTGCGTCTATTTAGAATGATTATGCGTATTTCTCATTATGTTTGCAAATAGTGACAATAATTGAAGCCACTTCACATTTAAGTCAAGTGCTAATCGTGTACACAGAAATTATCAGCTTCCCTAGTTTTCCTACTATAAAATTATCCATTATTGGTGTGGCAACAGGTAAGTAAAATTTACTTTAGTAATTATAAACATGGTTTCAATTTATGTTCATTCATTTCGTTTCATAACATAACTTTCCTGATATATTACCTAGACAGTAATCTCAGTAGTGTTGTTTTCAACAAATTTTACTCTATACCGACTCTAACGACTTGTCGTGCTCATATTTTATGCTCGAGTCATTAAAATTATATTTTTGTTGTCTACAAATAAATGTTTAATCATTCCTATTGATAGAAATAGTAAATATTATATAGTTTTAAATGTTACAAGAATTAACGAAAAATAATTTGTATTATTTTGTAATTTTATTCTATTGAAAAATAATTTATACATAATGTGTCTTAATAAGTATAATATTATTATATTTGTTTAAAACTTTTTTTAGCTGCTCCGATATTGTTTGTTTTGAGTATTATGCTAAGTCTAAACATTGTTGGTGTCAACCCTATTCGACCGTGGATAAATACTTCAGCATTTTTATACATATATTTTGTACTTTTTATACTTCTTTTGCTCATGTATGTATCTGTCCTGGTCATTTCCATATCCAAGATCAATTTCATCAAAGAAAAATTACATAGAAATACGCCGTGTTGTTTGAATGAGTGGTAATTATTGATTTCATCATTCCTAAGTAAAAGAGTATTATAATTTATAAATTGTATTATAACGATTTTAAGATTATTAATAGATTTAATTTTTAGCATCAATGTGAGCAACAATCATTTTAATTGTCCCCTAACAAAAATATATAAATCCAAAATAATATTTACTAAATACAATTTCCTATAATAAAAAATCATATTTTGTGACAGTACATTTTTCTTCTTCTTCCTCGACTTAATCCCAACTGTCCTCATATCGTATTCAATAGCATTGCTCCATCTCCTTTTTGGTCTTCCTCTACCTCTTCTTCCTTCAACATTCATTTCTATAACTGTTCTTACANTTGACACAATCTCTCACATCAGCTGTCAGGTGTTGAAATATATATATATATATATACAGAACTATTTTCCTTATATTTATATCCTATAGTTTTTAACTAATTAGTAATAATATCAAAAATTATTGGTAATAGAAAAAAATATAATTGTTGATTTAAAATTAGCATGAAAATATGAATAATAAAATATATTTTTTACTCTGAAAACAATTTTTGTAGACCATTTATTCATAATTAACAACAAATTATTATCTAAATTTTTTGTGTCAAATCCTACAATTTTATATACGTTTACCATAAAAGTAATAATACTTTATATCAGCTGTCCTCATATCGTATTCAATAGCATTGCTCCATCTCCTTTTTGGTCTTCCTCTACCTCTTCTTCCTTCAACATTCATTTCTATAACTGTTCTTACAGCTTCCGATTCTTCTCTCCTTATAACATGACCAAACCATCTTAGTCTATTTTCTCTCATCTTATCCACGATTGACGCTACACCTATACTCTCTTTTATATGCTCGTTGCTTATCTTATCTTACTCTATCTAATGACTCAACTCATCCAACTAAGCATTCTCATCTCTGCTATACTTTCTTATCAACCGCCCAACACTCTAAACCATACATCATAGCTGGCCCCATTAGAGTCTTGTAAAATTTACCTTTCGCCTCATTGGAATTCTTTTATTCTTATGCAGACGACAGACGCTTCTCTCCACTTCAACCACCCGCAATTAATCCTGTGTCTTACATCATCGTCAATACCAACGCTTTTTTGCACAACTGACCCTAAATACTTAAAACTTTCCACCTCTCCTATCACGTCCTCGTCTATTGTCACTGATCAATGATTTTGTATCAGTACATAATATTAGAATTATTTTGATACAGAAAGTATTCCTTTCAGTTACGAAAGGTGATCATAAAATTTTTATCATTTTATTCCGCTGTTTCATAGTAAAATTACAATATAAATACTACTGATCAATGTTACTTCCTAGTTAAAATTTGAGTCATCCAAATATTCAATTTTTTTTCATGATGACTTATGCAATTTTATTACTATAAATTTTTACGGTTTTGTTATTGTTCAAGATTATATCAATTTTTTCACAATGTTTTGAAATTAATCATTTCTCTAGGGCTTAAATGGTAATCTATATTTTATGGTTAGAATTGAATATGAAACTGTCTGAAAGAAATATTGTGAATATATATTTCAACAGACAAGTAGACAAGTTACTTTAAATTTTATCTAATATATCTTGAACGTGTCATTTTGATAGAATTTATTGTAATATTACATATGAGTAATTCATTATAATTCTAAGCACATAAACGCATACATTTAAATACATTAAAGATGAGGTAAACTATAGGCTTTGCTTGTGTGGATGTGCATTTATTCAGCGGATTATATAATTGATACATTCAAAAATAATATTATAATTTGCAAGAAGAAATTCAAAGAAAAAATCTTTTTTCAGGATTGGACTTATTAAGAGATCCATAGTCATTTTGTTAATGGTTATTATCACTACCATGCTCAGTATTCTATACTTTTTATACTCAGAAGAATTATTCAAGCATTCATTTAGTATTTCTTGTGCTTTAAAAGTGAGTGCTAACGCTATCTAGAAGCATTGCTTAGACTTAAGTTTAAAGCTTCAGACGCTGGATGGCGAAGTCCTTACAATTGCCTAATTAACTAATAAGTTTATTTGAGTTTTACATTTATATTTATTCCTAGGGATTTGTAGTTCTCGTATGTTATGTATTTCACACTGAAGAATCATTTAACTTAATATCAGTTTATTTGTTGAAATCCACAAACAATCGATTGTCCGGAGACATTCATTTGGATGTCAATGGAAGTCCTTCGAATGGTAAAAAATTAACTTTGAAAATTATCAATAACTCAAAGATAAAAATATTTTATTTAAAAATTATGTTGCTATATTTGTTTTTAAGTGGATAATTTAAGTGACTCATTTGAAATTTCAATTGTCTATTTTTAGATTTATCTAAAAACGCTGTTGACTGTGAAATTAATAATAAGTCAACAAAGTGTGATATCATAGAGATTTCTGATAATCCTACAGATTACTTTACGGCGCAAGAACAACCTACTTCAGTTATCAGTAACTTGACCAGTTCGTTAAAAAGAGCATCCGGACAAAATTTAGAATCCAAAACGAAATCTGTTACGTTTCTGCATGATTTAGTCACTGGTAAAATCAATAATTATAACATAAATTTTAGTTTTATTGTAATTCTTCAGTTTACTACTTCGCGATCTGTTAAAAATTGCTTGACATTATGTTGAGCCGCATAAACTCTTTAATCTTGTAATGTCGTATTGTGCGTTTCGTACTAGTTTTACATTACACTTTACGGCTGTAATATATTAGTGTAATATTGTATTTTATAGTGCTATTAATAATTTGCTCATGTTTTCCATAGACTAAATTACGAGACATATTAACGGTAATGTTCTACTACTTTTTTCAGTCGTTAAATTATTCAAACGCAGTAGGTTTTATAATACAACGTCTCAGAGTAGTAAAAGTATTATTAAAATAAATAAACAATTAAAACTTTTTTCCCATTTGGACTTTTAAAACTACCCATTATTGTTGATATTTTTATTTCTTGTCATCATTATTATGATTTATAAACCGTGTACACAACTAGATCGAAAGAAAAATATTTATTACGAAAAAAAAAACAATATATCAAAATAGTTTTAGGTCGACATAACGCTTTTCTAGTACGTTTCGGTTAATAAATTTCTATACTCCAACTTTATTCATTTCAAAAATAAAAAATCGTTTATGATTAAAGAAAAAATCGTACCTATTGTACTAAACATCCGTATTTATTTCTAGATTGTGCAAATGGTTGTATCAGCCTTATGTATTTATTTTAATACGTGTTTTTTGTTATCATTTTCAGGATGCCAAGAAAAGCCTTTCAATAACAACAATACGTTAGTTGACGATGATAAATGCTTATCATATAAAAATAGTAGCCGAGCGCCGTTACTTGAAACGACAAAAGCGGAAGTGGTCCACGCTTACGGCGACTGTGACTTGCCTGAACTTTGTAGCAACAGTTCTGAACCAGAGGAACAGCGCTGGCAAGTGGTGCAGACCGGCTTTGATGTTGCTGCCAATGTCGATACGGCCATTAGGTGTGTAGTACAACCACCGCCAGATATGATGGCCACACACGTGTGTGTTGAAGTCGAACTAGTTAAGTCGTCGGCTGCGGTCAACAATGATTTACAATTGTCGGTGCCCACGGTAGTAGTATGCAGTGTAGATGTAGAGCCCTGCAGAGTGACTCCGTCGCAGGTCTTATCACCAGACGACAAATTGAAGTCGATACAGTGTGAAAACTGGGAAGCCATCGAGGAGCATGTCGACCAGCAAGATGACACATTTGACAGAATAACTCAGGATTTGGACTATCTGTTGAATCGAAAAAATAACTTTACCGACAATTCACCTTACGTTTGCATGTCACCTTCTTCACTGTCCAGTAACCACCAGCGGAAGAATAATATCAATCAACAGTCTAAAGATGAAATTGGTGTTACTGTACAAAAACAAACCAATGAGAATTCTTTGAATTACAATGGAAATATCTAAAGTTTTTCTGCGCCACTTATTGAATTTATTAAGTTTATTAATTAAAATTTATTTTATACATAAATATATTTTTGAATTTTTAATGTTCCTAATTTAATATTTTAACGTTTCGTGTTCATTTTAATATGTTTAATTTACAATTGAGTTAAAAAAACACGTTATTTAATCAATATATTTTTAAGTCCACTGAAAATTCTTAAAAAGATTCTTTTTTAAGAAACATAATTATAGATTAAGTTTTCTATTGGTAAATTATGAATAATTATTATTTATGCTCATTTTTTTTTAAGGAGATACACTTTAGTGGTTTAAGGAGAGAAAGACTCTCGTATTAATAGTATTTATGTTGAAATTGTAAATAAGTACCAGTTCATATCTAATATCAATTGTGGCTTACTGGTCTATTAACATAATTACATTATTTTTTTAATTATTTGGTTTCGTAAACATGAAAATTACACGAAACAGTATTATTTAAAATATTTATAGTTATATTTTTTGAAAAGACAATAAATTTATTAACTTTTATTAATCATTTTAATACTTGTATTATACCTTGTTGAATGTTCCATTAAAAATGTATTATATAAAACATTTATTTATATAAAAAGAAAAATTAGAAAATAACTAACGTCTAATTTTATTAACTCTTAAGTACAAAAATACTTTTATTAAAATTGTGCTTTATAATGTTCTATTAACAAAACGAAATTAATACTATTTCCTTGTTGATAATTATAATGTCAGAAGTAATATTTCAAAATAAATATTTGAAATTTGGGCGAATACTACATACGCGAGTCCTCACTTGAAATTTTCAGAAAATTCTTGGTGAAATTAATCTAAAATTATGAATTATTTACTTTGTAAAAATTTTATTATTTTAAAAACAAAACACTGTCGATTATTACTATTTACAACATTTAACACTGTATTTTTCATAAAATTAATTTGCAATTTAACATAAATTTTTAATATAATAGATACCGAGTAGCAATTTGAGTTCATTTAACATAGTAACAGCAGTGCTGAATTTAGTTCAAAACCTGTTCATAATACGGTTCAAAATGAGATTTAAAAACGGATTTTAACGTGGAATTAACTGAGATCTATAAAAATTCAGTAAACGTCCTTGGTTCAGCTATAAAAAACTATAACAGTTCAATAGTCGTTCATTGGTTCAATAATAGCGTGCTCCGTTTTAGTTCATTAAGCCTTTTATGGACGTTTATTAGTTCATTATCAGCTACAGATTTTAAGAGTAAATTTATAAGATATGTATACATTCAAAAATTTTATAACAAGAAAATAATATATCGTAGTACTATATACAAAATGTATAATCTGTATAAAAAATATATATTATATACAGATTTTTTAATGATAGGGTTTCTGTTTTCATTGGACATTCCCAATTCTCTAGATGAATCAACTTCGATTTCACAATCACTTATTGTGTAAATATAAAATTAATTAACAATATTAATAAAAATTTAAATTAAAAGCAAATAAATATTAATATAAAATTAATGATATATATGTCACCAAAACGCAAAATACGGCAAATGGAGGGCAGTTTAACACAACATAAGATAGCACCAATGAAGTACGTTATCTTGTACTTAAGTGATCATATTAGAATTACAAATATATGTTGACAGTAGATGAATAACAAAAGTATAACTATAAAACTAGTTACTATTCGTGATTGTCGTCACCGATTAATTGTTAAGATATAAAATTGTATGGATGATAAATTAAAAAAAATAGTAATAATTGTAGCAAACCTCAACGACGCCACTGCATTTTAAATTACAAACTGAAATGTAAACGAATTTTAACCCTTCACTGCATTTTATGGAAGAACATAAATACATGCGCATAAAAGTTAATTTAAATTTCATGTACGATAAATAACCATAATTGCAATTATTTAAAACACGATTTTTTTAGTAAATAGTTAAATTTAAGAAAAAAAAATTCATTCACTTAGTATTGAGTACCAGAAAAATTATTTAAAATACCTCTTTAAATTTTAAATCAGACACATAACTATTTTGAGTTGTACGATATTTTTGTGCCAATATACAGATTTCATACATATTGAACGATTAAAATCAAAAATGTATTTTATAAATAATGAACTGTTAAATAAATTTACCACGCACTATACGTTAATGATTCAGTATTTAAGATTTAAATGTGTTAAAATGATGTATGTTATAAGAGGCCCTCTCAATTTATACCATTTTAGATATAACATGATCGTTTTTTTTTTTAAATTGTATTTAAAAGTACCAAATGATGCATTGATTTGTTTAGCTATATACAAAGAAAACACATGGTGGACAAGTTAGATTTATTTTATACTATTCAAAATTAAAAAAGTAGCATCAAAAATTTCTCTTCAATTTTAAATGTACCAATAGGATTAAATTTACTTGAATTTAATGTTCATAGATCACAAAAAATGACTCATATGTGTCATGTGAATTATATGTGTCAAGTTGTTACTAATGATAAAAATTCTTATATTTTATGTTTTATTGCTTTAAAGTATAAAAACTTGGTTTTATTTCCATTCATATTCATCCCAATCTTCCTTCTTAGAAAAATAATTTCTAACTTTTAATTATTCTAATTAATTAAGATGGTCAATAATGGTCATGATCCATTTATTTTTAATACTACCTAATGATTCTTTAACCAAACTATCAAATCAAATAATACAGTTCTTTATTGTAAATACTGTTCATTAAAATATTAGTAAATATTGTATAAATAATATATTAAAACTAAATTAAAATTATTTTTACTTTTATACAAGCCAATTATAAAATTATTTATACATTTAATATAATACTAAAATTTAAAAATATACTTAAATTTATTACTTTTGTATAACACATTAAACAAATATTAAAAAATACAAAAGAAGTAGAACACTTGACACTTCTCTTTTGGCTAAAAAATAGCAATATCTCAAAATGAGCATTCAAAAAAAAGATAAAATATGACAATCATTTGCTGCTTCTTAAAATTTTCCCAATTCAATGGCTTCTTAAAATTTACGCATTTCTATGGCTTCATAAAATGTACGAATTTTTATGGCTTCTTAAAATATTTGTATTTCTATGGTTTCTTAAAATTTTACGCATTTCTATGGTTTCTTAAAATGTTTGCATTTTTTATGGCTTCTTAAAATGTACGCATTTTTATAGTTTCTTAAAAATTTACGCATTTCTATGGCTTCTTAAATTATTACGCATTACTATGGTTTCTTAAAATTTTACGCATTTCTAAGGCTTCTTAAAATGTTTGTATTTCTATGGCTTCTTAAAATGTTTGTATTTCTATGGCTTCTTAAAATGTTTGTATTTCTATGGTTTCTGATGAAGTGTAGAGAAAAAAATACAAATTTTAATTGAATGAAATTTGAGGAAAAGAATTTTTTTATAATTCACTAGGTAACAAAAAATACAACAAAGTTTTAAACAAATTTAAAATTAATTATTATTTTCTTTTAGTAACATATGGATAAATATTGTGTTAGAAGTGTCTATTGTAATACATTTAATATTAGAATTCAAAATTTCAAATGTTCTTCTTCACGTATAGATCTATAATGCTTTTAAATGTTTTGATATATATTCATAAAAAACTCAAAATTAAGTTTTATGAAGATTTTTGTTTTGTTTTAATTACTTATGAAAAATATAATAAATTTTGAAGTAGTGAAAACTAGCCTTCTACTTGTCCTTTTAACTCCTCTTTAATTACTATGACTGACATTTAGTCAAAAGATTTCGATCGACTTTATATAAGTGTACCAAATTTCAAATTATTTAATAAAATACATATGTCTATCCAATTTGTTGTGTCATGATACCTAAAATGGCTCGAAAAATAATGAAAGTTTAGTATTAAATATCTCATAAATTTATCATTTTACTCAATAATTCATTAGCATTAGTATAAAGTAATAAAATCCATTCGGTAATAAACATTTTTATTTTGCTAAACTAAAGAGACTATGTTTGTTTTATTATTTAAGGTATAGACATTTATAAGTTTAATTTTTCTCTACTAAAAAATAAGTAGAAATGAACTTCACTGAAAAAAAAACCTTATTAAAATGAAAAAAATTATTGTTAATTTACAGTCAAAAATATTTATTTACATTTATATTAAGAATATATTAATTTTTTATAACTTTTAGTTTCATATAATTCTCGATTTATCAATTATTTAGTATTTTTTAAATTCATCTCATACTTTATATGAGTGTTAACTTAAATTATACATTTTTTAAAAGTAGCTTATAAAATGAAAAATAATCTAATAAAAAAAATTACTGGTTGATAACAACTTATGACCCATTATTTTGGATATTATAACCGTTTAAAATATAGCGTATTTGGATGGGTTATGGAACAGTCATATTCTTAATTAGATCATTTTTTTATTTAATTAGCTAGTTAAATATATGTATTTCTTAATAAAAAAAATAAAGTTGACACCTTTATATTATTTAGGAGAATAATTAAAAGAATACATAATAATTAATAAATCTAGAAATGTATAAAATTAAAAATATCAAAATGAATTTTCATAATATAATTATTATTTCGGAAGAAATCAAGTGGATAATATAAAAAAAAAAGACTCTGTACATAGTACTGAAAAATCTAAGAAATATAATTTGTAATTCACAAATTAATTATTTTATTTTTAGTGACAAAATACAGGGTGGCCCACCACTCACTGACAACTTAAATAACTTTTGATCCAGTTAATATTTTTAGTTGATTTTCTTTTTTAAATAATATTTATACGTTAGGTCTATAGCTATATCTCAATAATTAATTTTTTTACATTTTATTAAAAATATTAATTATTTTAAAATTTTAAATAAAATGTAAAAAAAAAATCTAAGATAGCTATTTTGTAGAGTAGAATTTAAGAAAAATTTTAGTAAAAAAATATCTTATTAATATTCAGTAGTAAATATTCTGTAGCGTTTTGAAGTTTGTGAAAATTTGAATTTTCATGTACTATTTTACGGTATTAAACATTGAAATACGTATTGAGAAAAGGACAGAAGAAAACGCTATCTTTTCATGATTACTGTGTATACATATGATGATAGTGTGTATACATTACAAACTTGGCATTAATACCATGATAAGAAATTAGATAAGGCAATTATTACTTATCACTCTCATTCAAAAGTATATTGAAAAGATAGCGTTTTCTTCTGTCCTTTTCTCAATACGTATTTCAATGTTTAATACCGTAAAATAGTACATGAAAATTCAAATTTTCACAAACTTCAAAACGCTACAGAATATTTACTACTGAATATTAATAAGATATTTTTTTACTAAAATTTTTCTTAAATTCTACTCTACAAAATAGCTATCTTAGATTTTTTTTTTACATTTTATTTAAAATTTAAAAATAATTAATATTTTTAATAAAATGTAAAAAAATTAATTATTGAGATATAGCTATAGACCTAACGTATAACTATTATTTAAAAAAAAAATCAACTAAAAATATTAACTGGATCAAAAGTTATTTAAGTTGTCAGTGAGTGGTGGGCCACCCTGTATTTCAATTAGTCATTTGATTAACAATTTATAGCATATATTAAATTAAAAATCATTTTAGGTTAGTCATCTTTAAAATGAGTAATTTTCATCAAATTAATGTTGTATCAGTTGAAACCTTGCAAAATTTGCATTTACGTCAACAATCTTAAAATAAATACTTTCTACTAATAATAAAATTCATTTAGAAATATTCGAATACACTATGTCTTACCTAATAAGAGTAGTGTAGTTAAGGATTTATTTTGGCAAAATATGTATAAGGATATTCGTCTAATATATACTGCCATTAGTTATATTTCTGACCTAACACTCTAAATTTTAATATTATTTAATGATTTTTTTAAATAATTTTCTTTGTCAACATTAATCGTTTAAAAAACATGAATAATAACTAGGGATTAGTTGGTTTTATAAAAAAATAGATACTTTACTAGAAAATACTTTTACCTTTTATCTATTATTATACTTAATAATATTTTTTTACAATAAATAATTCCGTTAACTAAAATAATCACTGAATGCAACTTCATTAATGTTTTTCTCGTTATCACGAAAAGCAAGCAAAAAGCAATCGCATAGTTATTGCTTTTGTGTTATTTTAATCGTTAATGACTTGACGTTAGAACGAGTAGTTTATTTATTTCTATAACCGTATGAGTGTTAATTTGCCAATTACTTGTGGTAATGTTTCTAAAACTTGTTAGCTTTAAGTATACCATTATTAAATATTATTTTCATTTACTGCATTAATAAAATCAGAATGCTCAAAGTTTAGACTTATATTCCTTCGGCTTATAATGAAGTGCAAACATTTCATTAAAAACTGTCATTAAACAAAATCTATAAAATTAAACCTTCTTTTCTTTGAAGGATTATTTGTAATACAGTAGTTCATAACTTAAAAATTATTACTTTACGCTCAGCAGTTTCATAATAAATAAAACTATTTCAGTCCTTTTAATAATTGCTATACCTAAAAACGAAAACGAGCCATTAAATTCAAGTGAGTCTTTTTTAGTATTGCAAAATAATGAATAAAAGTTAGAAATGTTTGGTAAACATTACTCATTATACTTGTTGTTATACTAGTATTAAACTAATATGACCTCCAAATTTTAATTTCAATTATTCATAAATAATAAAACTATTTAATATTGCACTAACATCATAGAAATATTTTCCTTTTTTCATATAAAAACAATTATATATCAAGTAATCAATTTCTGAGACATTTATTCAAAGAAAATGTCGAATTAATTAAATTTCTTAGTAACTATTTTCAAGAATTTTGTTTGTGATATAAAATGATAAAAACGTAAACTTAAATGTTTTATTAAACTCGTCCTTAACAAAATTTTCAAAGTAAACTTTGCGAATTTTCTTCACACTGTAATGCTATTATAATATAAATATTTAATCGAAATAACTCAAGAAACGTATTTTCATCACATTATAATAGAATTAAATATATTAACAATCAAAAACTTATCGAAAACTATTTATGAACTTTTCTCTTGGCGTTAAAAGGTGATAAAAAAGATTAACATTTCAAAATAAATACTTTATCAAGTATACATTGATTTAGGTCATTGCAAATATAAACAATTATTAATTTAAAATAAAAATCCCAATAGATCGTTAGCGAATCTTTACAATTTTTAAACTTATGACTAACAGTGTTTTAGTGCAAAGTAAGTTTCCGTACAACTAAGCTGATCAATACCGTAATACGTTATATTTGTTGTGAAAACTTTTAAAAAATAGTTTGTATAAAAGTTTTGTGAACGAGTAAAACTTTACGAAAAAACAACAAAGAAATAATAAAAGGCCATCAAATTACACAAAGTTTGTAAGTTGACAACTTTTTCTATACTTTCATTTATACAACGGCAGTATAGAGAGAATGACGAGCAATCAAAAGTTCATTGTCATTGAGCTGTTTTAGTGCTTAATTCGACGAGGGGGTACAGTGAGGTCCTGTTCGACAAAAAAGTATACAAGAAGGAAACCTAATATCCATAGCAGTACTGCTGCTACTTTACAACACTTAACTGTAAAAGTCATGAACTCGTTTTAAATGAGGTGACTTACAGATTTTTGCCTTTACGTTAATTTTCACCGTTTATTTTGGTAGCCTACGTGTGCGCTTTGGGAAAGAGAAGTGGGGTAAGTAAATCAAACAAAAACCGAGAGAATGCGAATAAAAAGAAACACATAGTTCGACAAAAAAATAAATAAATAAAGAAGAAAAAGATAGCGCAAGACGTTACGAGGAGTGTTGAGAAGAGAAGCGGCCGCGGTGGCGCGGACGAAGAAAAATAAAATAGAAAAAAAAAGGAAAAAGAAAACGAGCGAAGAGAGGTAGAGAGTTGAAAAAGTCGAAGTCCGTAAAAAGAGGGTGGCGGGTGGAAGTCGTTGGTGCCGCCGAGGGCTTGTTGCTGTTTAAAGTAATTTCTCTCCAAGTCGATGACTGTGACGGTGGCGACGAGTGATGTGGGGTGGGGAGCGTTCGGTCTGGACACAAAATGGGAAATGGAAAAGATTGGATAAAGTGCAGCGCGCGTCGTCGCTGCCGGTGAGGGATGCAGCGGGTGAAGAGGCAAATTTAGTGGCGGCAGCGGCAGGCGGATAGTAGTCGACGGCGGCGGCGTGCGACAGAGATAGCGCGTGTAAAAGTTTTTCCAGTCGAAGTTTCGCAGTCGGTGTGATTATTCCGTACCGAGTTGAATGGCGGCGGCCGCCTTTTACCGTGCGCGCACTCAAATACATATACACTCGCACGAGGTGTACGCGCACATACACGTGGACGACGACACTTTAACGAGTCGCCGGTGTCCCATGGTCACCGCGGTTACTGTCGTTGTCGTTTTCGTCAATTCCAAACGATTGTGACTGTAGATGATCGCTGTTCGTTCGAAATTATTGAAGTAGTCTATAACAAGTCGTTGCGATATCGAAAAAATGTACGGAAATACGTCTTAGTCGAAATAAGTAGAAAAAAACGTCAGTTACTATTGATTGGCCGTGGGATAGTTTTTGTTTTCTCTTGACGGCGGCGCGCGCGCTTCCCGCCGTCGCCGAGAACGACGACGATACGGTGGCGGCAACGACAGCATTTTTTTCGCCAAGTCGTTTCGTCCTGCTGTGAAGACTCCGCTCTGTCGCGGTCAGCTGTTCCGGCAACGGACATCGACGGGACAACGAGTAGTAACAATAGACTGTATAACGGCCGTTTTCCTATGAAAGCCATTTGACTCAGCTGATCAGCTGATGACTAGACGGTAATCGCCACTGTACTGCAGCCAACATCCTATTGATGATAATATTATGATCAAGGTGAGTCACGAAGTCATAGTAATTATTTTTCATTGAGTTATTCATAACAAAAAATCATATCAGTAACTGGTTGAGTTTATGTAATTTGGTTAATTATTTACCGATAAAATATATTAAAAATTAATTGTCACTATAATTTTATCAAATATAACATTACACAATATTATGTACATTAGCTATAAAATGTACAAGTATTGTAGAATAATTATTTTGAACTCACTAAATATGATTAATATTTTAATAATGAATTAATTGTTGATTAAATAAGTAATACACTAATGTAGATCATAATATTAGAAGAATTCTGCCATCAGTTTGTTAAATAAAAATATAGAATGTATAATTTATTTAACATTTTTGAAATTATACTTGAGTAAATTATGGTACTTCTACATAAAAAAAATTTCCATCTGTGGTTTTATTATCTTTTAATTCAATCAAATTTTAAATATAAAAATCTGTGGATGCATTAAAAGTAAATTTGGCCTACAGATTTTTGTATATGATTCTTTTTATTATTAAAAAAATGAATAATTTAGAATTGCATAAAGATTTTAATTTTTAAAATATTGAAATTCCGAACTAAACAATTACAAAAACTATATTCAATAAATATTTATAAATGTGATTTTGTATTTATGCGACGTCAAAATAAGAGAATATTATACAATTTTTTTAAAAAATGTAATATTCTTGTTATACAAATACCATTTAAACATCGAATAGCGACTCATAGTAGTAAGATGCAACAAGTGTATACTTACGATATCGAACTCAAATAATAAGTCCAAAGTTCAGTATAATATCCTTTTAACTTGTACAACAAGATAGAAGAAGGGATAAAATTTTGTAAAAATATCACACTACATTCATTTTACAAAAAAAAAATTTTCCTCCAACTGGGAGACAATAAATTTTTAGATAAATAAAAATAAAAATAATAGTTTATTTGAATTTTTAAATTATTTTATTTCCAATACTATTTAATTGCACATAACACTTCATTTGTTTAAGTCTGTCTAATAAAATAATTTATTTAAATTTGTCAAAAACATAGTACATATTTTTATGGTTTGCAATAAATAAATCTGTAAAAATTGAATTATTTAATTTGGTCCTTCGAGTAACTTCACAAAAATCATCATTAATGATTAAACAAAATTGGTGATCGTTAGTTTTATTACTGAAAATTAAATAATATAAGTTATAAATTTAGCTAATAAACGTCAGCTTTAGATTATCGAGAATCTCATATATTAGATCAACACAAATCATTGTTTTGAATAACATTTTCATACAATTTTTGAAATTTTATTTTCGGAGTCTAATCAAAATATGTTTTCATTTACATGAATGATTTAATTTATATCTAAACTATGATATAGCATATATATATCTACAGTTAAATTATTAGAAAAGTATGAACATTACTTACAGTATTCGACAATTAAGGTGTAATTTGGTTCAAAAAAATATTTGTTAATATTTCATGATAAAACAAATGTCATGAAATAATACGATCAATTTTAAATTTAAAATTTGCATATATCGTAAAAACAAGATTTTTACACATTTGTATATTAACTAATATTTGTATATTGTGTATGACTAAGTTCAAGAATTAGTATAATTATAATTAGAATGATTAAAATTTAAAAAAAACATTTACAATTCATTACAAAACAAAGATAAAATTAAACAAACTTCCAAAATACATCTAAATAAATATTAAACTCTTTTTTTAATTTTTTAACTCTACTTGTTTTTTAACAGACAATACAAAATTGTTTTACTTCTCTAAATACTATGAATACCAAGTTATTATAATTGTGTGTTGGTTGAAGTGTATGAATGAACTAAAAGGAATTTTACATTTCCAAAAACTTATTTGATATTTCTAGATGTTCAACTTTTTAATTGTTATCGTTGCAATTACTTGACTGTAAATTTCGTACAACAGCTAAACTGCGTGAGTACTAACATACCCATTTGATAGAATAAAAACTGACCTTCATAGTATATAGAAAATGATTATTATATTGTATAGAATATAAAGACTCCAAGGCAATTTCCATGGAAATGGAGGGTGGTCACTTGTAGTGGTTAAGTGGGCAGCGAAGCATGAAATTTAGTCAGTTGAGCACGCTGTACGACCACCGAGGAAAACTCTTATGGGAAAAGTTTTTCAAAGCTCGTTGGCAGTATGGGAAAGTAGAGATGGTAGCGGCCAATGATGAAGACGGGTAAACGGATAGACGTGGTAATGGCATAAGAGGATAGAAAGAGAAAGATAGAGAACAAAATACTGTTTAAAACATAGCTCAATGTGCAAGCGTATCGGCCGTATATATATATATATATATATACATTGTAATAATATAATGCAGTTATGTTTGTTGCTACTGACAATCTTCCAGCCGATGCCGCCGAATAGTTAAACAAAAGTTTTTTGGCGTGAAGTTTGTTCGAGAACTTGTTTCATCGAAACTTTTTTATTTTCCCTCTTCCTTCGAGTAAAACTTTTACCGGTGTTAATATTGGACAACGAGACGAGGCGGGTGAAAAGTTAACTCAGAAATTACTTTTGATGACTAAGATTATTGGATCGCCCATTTAATCTGCCAAACTAAATAAATATATCCGATACAATCGTTTCTTAATTCTTCTTTTCTGAGCTTCTAAACATACGATATCCTTGTTTTTTTACTGTAAACTTCTTGAAAACAACAAAACTAACTAAAAACATAAGTTTGTCGTGATAAAAACTTTTTAACAATTTGTATGATACATAATGTTAAATAATTAATATAGACTTTATCGTCATATTTTTTTTATTACGCTTTATATCAATATTAGTAAGCTATTAACGTAATAAAACACGTGTATATTAAGTGCATGTATATGTGTATGGATTATTATTATAGTAAATTAAAAATGTTTATAGAAAATAAAGTTTTCATTGTCTACTCAATTGATGTTGATTATTTCCTTTAATATACCGTTGTAATATAGTTCTTAATTCATAGATTATAATTTCTTATCTAGACTTTAAGAAACACTATACATAAACATTACAACTTAAGCATTATATAGTATTATGTTTTTAAAGTGTTATAAACAGAACTAATTGTTGTGAAAAATCGCAATAATAAATATTTTTTGTAAATAAAATTGAAAACCGTTATATCTCAAATAATTATATTATTAAAAATAATCAAAATTACACGTTTAGTATATTATTCTAAATAATTTAAAATTCTATTTACAATAGTCAAATGATTTTACATTCAAAGTACTCGATATTATTTCATATTTTGAAAAAATTACTCTTGACACAAGATCTATTAACAGACAACACAATAATGAAATAACGTTATGTTTCAATAAAACAATAGAGTTCAATATAAAAATAAAAGGAAGAAATGTTCTATTTAATCTATCAAACACAAATTTCAAGATTTTGTTGTCAATATACATGAGTCAGTCTTATTTATTTTAATTTATGTTTACTAGTATTATCACTTCAAAAATACTTTAAACTTCAATATTTTTGTATCCTTAATTCAGCATTTTCTTAAAAAGAATTTCTACTTGCAAAGTTAATGTAACTTAATAAAAGATTTTAGAACTTTTTCTGAAGGCAGCGTAAATTATATTCGATGAACACTCTGATTTGGGAAAGTAAAACTTTGTGTTTAACATTCGTGTTTATATTTACTATTGATAACCTAAATTAACTATTTAGTTATTTATCTAGAATTGAATAAGTTTACTTTTAGTTCCTACTAAACTACAAAGTACCTACTTTCGTTACATATTAAATTGTTCTAACTAAATTATCAAATTCTGAACTTATTGACCCCAACTTTCGAAGCAAAAGACTTGTTATTATGAACTCTTATTGGTTAAAGTATTTTAAGCAATATCAATACATCAAATTATTTTTTTCAAAAATTTCACATTTATTTTTACACACTTATTATATCAAAATAGTTTTTATTTTAAATATTTCTACTATTTTGAATTTTATAAGTAATATAGTTATAACTAATATCAAATTTAAAATTTATAATTGTATACATAATTAGTCAGTCAGTCAGCAATCCTTGACTGACTATCACTGAGTGAAGTATATAAATATTAAACCATTTTTTTATAAAAAGAAAATTTAATACGTTTGTATAACTATAACGTATTTCTATATGTATTACAGAAATAATAAGAAGAAAATAATCCAAACACCATTATTGGTTTAAAGAAATTAATTTTTTTAAATAAAATTGAGCAATTTGTTCATAATTAAATTTAATAGATCGATATTAATTTGCATATTAAACTATTGGTATAATTGTATTGTTATTTATCAAAATTTTTTATTTAACTTAAAAATGCATGGTAATTTTTCAAAAAATGTTATTCATTGAGAATAGTGACATGACTCAATACTTTTCAGGAAAGTAAAATTAAATAATTTTTTTTTTTACAATCATAAGTAAAAAAGATTTTAGAATAAACATTTAATTAAGTTTATTAGGTTCCAGTAGAGAGTCTTGTATTAATTTAATTTGTAACTTTAGGATTTTCTATCGTAAAATTCGTTATGTTCAAGTTATGGCACTTATTATCTGTGTGTCAATTTTATCAGTCCATCTAACAGTGTTAAAAAGTTTCATTGTGATTATGCAAATCATTATTTTAAAAGTTCAATTTTGAATATAATTTCAACCTTGGTAAGTAATATTGCTTAGAAAGGTCAGTAAAGTAGAATCGACTCATCATGATATCATAATGTATATGTGAATACTATAAAACTGTGTTACTCAGTGACAATGGAATTTCTAGGAAAAACCTTTCAGCTGACTTGTACATAAAAACCGACAAACGGAATAGCTTAGAGTTGGTAGACGTGAGCAGTACAGGGAACTCGCGTTCGATATGAAAATAAAATGGAAATAACTTTCGGGGTACATGGTGAAGGAAATAGCAGTCAAGCGCAAAAAAAAATAGCGAATAAAAGACTGAGAGGGAGAGAAAAGAATCAAACGTGCACATACATTTTTGTACACAATATACAGGAAAATGAAAAAGAACATTATTTTACCATTCACTATTTACTTTATACACAAAAATATGTTTTTCTCTACTGGTTGAATGATTTGGATAAACTATTAGACGCAAATAAAGGAAATGTTATTTTTTAAATACTTAGGTAAATATTTTTTCGCAAGTTGTAAAACTTTCCTAAAGACACGACTTTGTGTTGATATTTGGAATATACAATTTGTATGTTATAAATATACATTTATACAGTTCACATGTATTTTAACAATTTTCATAATATTCAGTTAAACCCAACACGCGATGTAATCTTATAAAAGCTGTTATTAAAAAAAAGTAACCAAGTAAAAATAATAGAAATAATAACTGTTAAATATATTTTCAAGGTCGTGGTTTCTTTAAAAATAGTTTTACTAAGTAGTATAAGTGATTTTTCCGAAGAATACTCTCAAAACCTGCTATAAAACTGTATGATTTGATTGACAAAATGATACTTGAGAATTTTCTATAGGATTTAGATCCATTTCTAACTTTGAGGAATCATTTTAGACAAATTCATATTTTTTAAATACAATTTAATTAAATGCTTGTCAACCATCTAAAATAAAATTCAAATTCCAATGATTAGCCTTCAATTTTAGTAATTGTAAGTTTTTCAGTGATTATTTTTCGTGTTAGTAATTAATATGATTATTTGAAATGCAAGCTAAACTATTCTATTTGCATATCAAAGTCTTTGAAATAAAAATTTAATAGTTCTAGTACTAAAAGACTAGTATAAGTCTTTCAAAAATTACACTAATGTATTATAATTATAGTAAAAATAATAAGTTATGTCGAAAGAAAATTTATATTAACCTCAAATGAGTTGTCAGGGCGTATCACTGATAAATCTATAAAATCGGCTTCTGGTTTAGAGACAACACAAAGAGATTGTAACGCAAGTTCAATTGCTCCCAGTATACCTTTTCTGGCTATTGGGAAGAATGATTCTAATGCTTTAGTGGAAGTATCACTTTTTCTACCAATGGCACTAGCCTAAACAACAGCAATAACAAAAAAAGATATAATAAGGTATTTATTAAAACAATTTTTTTTACTCACAAGAACTTGCGAAATTGTACCAAGCGGATCAGTTACATATAAAAAGTTTCCATTAATACCACAAGAAGCCACCATAAAAGATTCTTTGTACGGCAGTAATGGCAAGTTATTTAGTGATCTGATTTCTGGATCTAAACACATTTGATACTAATAAAATTGTACCCAAAAATATTAATTATTTAAATTAAAGATTTTACTATAAACTTTAAAAAGTAAGTTTAAATTACAAATAAAATTCCAGTAATATAGAACTATTGGTAAAATTTAGAAAAACCTGTTTAGGGTCTTAGCATCCACCAAGAAAACTATTAGTAGATTACTAAACATAAAATTTTCATGTGTAAGAAGACTTTATATGATCTAGTTTCGAATAAACTGAACCAGATCAGTACATAGTTAAGATTACACTATTATGTTTTTTTTATTATTAATTATATTGTTCTAATTTAAAGTAGTTCAAATCTAAACTAAATAAATCTATAATAATAGTAATAAAAGTTATAAATTTATTGATCTTATTTTCAGTCACTAAACATTTGCTTAGAAAGTCACTACCAAAGCATCTCGCATTTTGTTTCTAATCTATTAATGAATAAATTGTAAAATTCATGTATTCGTTAGTCCTTTTAACTTATGCTGATCAATCAATAAGAAAAATATTGGAACAAATAAGGTTATTTTGATTCTAAAATTGCTAACATTCAAATCGTATATAACAAACTATTGAATATAACAATAAAATTTTATTAGCCTTTAAAACTCATTCTACTAGCTTTGTGTATTTGAGTTAAATTATAGTAATAGTAAATATCAAATCTCTAAAACTTATCTAATTTTATTATTATTTAAAATTAAAGTTATGCTCTATTTAATTAACATATTGTTGTAATTTTTATCAAATGTTAAACTAAATTTTATGACATTGAATTGATATAATTTTACTTAAATATTGTATAATAATTGCACAATAATGTTGCAATTTAAAAATTTTACACTTATGTTGTACTTTTATATCAATCAGTCGGGTTTAGTTTGGTTATCAATTTTACTTCATTAAAACTTTTAGTATGAATAAATATTTCATTTATTATATAAGTAGACAAATTTTATTTACACAAATCATTAGTAATAAATCACAGGCGAAAGGGAAAATAAACACCAAAAAACACAAACCTTGGCGCCGGCAACATTTTTATCAAAATTGATAAAAAGTTTTAAAAAAAATATGTATTTGATAATAAAAACCTAGTTAAATCATAAGTAAACAGTTTAAAATGTTTAAAAAATCTCACAAGACTATAAATTTTAACAAGTTTAACTTGTTCAAATCGGTAGCTTAAGTTGAAATTTTAAATTATTTACAAAAAATAAAGCTAAACTATTGTTTATAAAATTTTTTGGTTCACCTCACAATTGCAATTGTATAATACACGTTAAAAAAAAGTTATAAGGATTTTAAATATACTATTTTTACGCTTTTACAAACTAACAATTATTGAATTTAAAAGCAATATAAAAGGAATCTTTGGAATTTCTTTAATTGTGCTCAATAAAATTTATAGCATAATGATACAAGATATATATTTTATATTATGCTTGGCAACTTGATATGTATTACAAACTGCATAGAACATAATAATAAGTTATTTAGTTAAAAATCACTCATTTTTAATTAAGCAGTTAGTATGCATTTCTAACGCGTAGGTAAAATTTCCTTCAAAGGTATTTAATTAATTTTGAATACGTTGTTAATTGAGGAGAATCAAAGAGTAAACGTGTAAGGGATACACAAAACAACCGCAAACACATTTCCTACGCATTCAGTTACCGCCGTAATATAAAGGATTAATGATCTACAAATGGTTAGTTTCTCTTATTATAGTATTATTATTATTATAGTATAAAATTAAATAAAACTATAAATGAATAACAATTAATTTAGTTTTTTATCCGATTTTATAGTCTAACTTTAAATAATATTATATTTTAATAACCATTTGTTATAAAAAAATTTATCTACAATGATAGCTACATAAAAATTATGTATTCCTTTTTTCATTTTGAAAATTTAAAAAAAAAACTGAATAATTGTTTTTAGGATAGAGGTGACATATATAAATAATAATAATTTAAAATATTAAAATTTAGTGTGTTGATTATTACCGACAAGAAATTCAGCGATTTGATTGGCGGATGCATTCAGTCCATATTCGCTATTAGTGTACATTTTGGCTTTGTCAATAACCATTAACGCATTTTTCGGTACTCCTGAAATTTATTCACTGTATAGAATAGTACACACAGTAAACAACTTATTTCAATTTATTATTCTCAAATAACTAGCTGTCTTAGGGGCATAATTTATATTTATGAAATAGAAGTTTTACTATTTTATCAAACACTTAAAATTTGTAAGCAATCTAATTTTACTCACTTAATACCTAATATTTAATATTTACAGTAGAAAATATAATTCTTAAAAATGGTAGCACAGTGGGGTCATAGCACAGTGTGCACGTATCATAGCTGGGACAAGTATAGATGATATCTGACAGTGATTAAAATCACTATCATAAGAAACACTTAATGTAGATGAAAATCTGTAGATAGTGTTTAATTTTAAGAAGTTGATGGATTATACCAAAAGAATAATTAATTCATATTTCCTTTATTATTCCTGATTAGTAGTTATTTGATTTAGAAGAATAATATGTGAATAAATATTTATTATAGCAATCAAATTTGTATGAGATTGATATTTAATAATTTAGTATTGTAATTTTTCAAGAGAATTTATAAAAAATTATAAAATATTTACTACTTTTATGGCAAACATATATAAAATTGTAGGGTTTGACACAAAAAATTTAGATAATAATTTGTTGTTAATTATGAATAAATGGTCTACAAAAAATTGTTTTCAGAGTAAAAAATATATTTTATTATTCAATTTTTCGTGCTAATTTTAAATCAACAATTATATTTTTTTCTATCACCAATAATTTTTGATATTATTACTGATTAGTTAAAAACTATAGGATATAAATATAAGGAAAATAGTTCTGTATATATACATATATATGTATATATCTATTTCAACACCTGACAGCTGATGTGAGCGTAGATGATGTGGGAGATCGTGTCAAGTGGAAGTTTAGGATAAGGGTGGCCGACCCCAAGTAGTTGGGATTCAGGCGAGGAAGAAGAAGAAGAAGATCTATTTCAACACCAAGAGTTAAATAAAAATTAATAATATTTCTTTTGAAATGAATTATTACTATGAAAAAATATGAAAAAAAGAAATTTGTTTTCAAAATATTACTGATTTTGATTTTTAATATGTTAAAAATAATCAGTGCAAAATTATATTTTAAACTATTTTTTTTGTCCATAAAAATTTTATTTTTGAAAGTTTATATAAAAAAAAAAGTTGAATTTGTTACTATAACATTTAGCTCAACTTCAAGTATAAAATTTACAACATTAAATAGAAAAATTTATGAGAATTAAAAAAATAGTATTGTTAAGATTACTATGCATTCTGTAAATTGTATAATTTCTATTTACTGCAAATTTATCAGAAAAGCTCAATATTTTTTTTTGCATTTTTATTACAATAAAACAATTAAATAGAAATCATAGTAATCATTTCTAAGTACTTAGAAATGATACTTAGAAAGTTCACTTAGGTGTTTAAAATATTCAACAATTGAAATATTCAGAACTAAATTAATTTTAATGATTTAACTAAAAAAACCAATGAATCAATTAATAACATGTTAAAAATTCTACTCAATCGAATGCATTATATAATTTGATTATAATTTTAAAAATGTTTTTTTAAATTTCTGATTTATATAATAACATTTTACCAAAAAATTTGGAATATTATAGACTACTAGTAACACACAAATAAATTTAAAATAAAACCCAGCACTGTGGGGTCGCGGCACAGTGTGGACGTTGCATAGTTGAGGCGTAGAATTACAGATGATCTGACAGTGATTAAAATCACTATCATAAAAGACGGTTTGGTGCAAATCTGTAGATAATGTTTAATTTTAAAAAATTGGTGGATTATTCCAAAAGCTACATGATCTGCTAGTTCCTTATATTTAATCCTGATTAAGGTAAAGTATGTCGAATGAGAGAGGGATTATTAAAAAATATTATTTCTCATAATAAAATTGTGTTGATCCATACACTTTTCAATAAGTTATATCATTATAAAGTTAAAAATATAAAAAAGAATTATTTTTCAAAAATCGTAATTTTTTTATTAACTTTGATGTCTATTTTCACCACGAAGACAAGTCCAGAGGTCAAATTTTTTTTTCCATAATAAAGTACATTATAATAGCTTTAATTTAAGATATATATAGTGTCAGACCTTCCGGAACATTTTCAAAAGTTAAGTTGAAAAAGTTAATTTTTTGTGAAAAGTTGTCATTTTAAATCCTCCCCTGTGGGCAGGTAAAATTTATAATATAAAAATTTATATTGATTTGGCCATTTTTAAAAGAGTTATGGCAATTTTAAGTAAAAAAATTTCGAAAATTAGCGATTTTTAAATTTGTAATTTTTTCGGAGGTTTCCCCCATTTACGGGGAACGAGGGTAATTTTTTCAATTTTTGAGGGTAATGTCTTTGACTAGATACGATTTGTGATCTTTTGACGTATTGTTAAAAGAAATCGGTTCGGGGAGAGCTGAGAAAAAGTGGTTACAAAAAAAAAAAAAAAAAGAACACATCATAATAAAATTAATAACTTCGCATCGAAGCTACTTTATTTTAGAAAATGAATTAATTGAAATTCATTTTTTTTTGCTAAAACCCTAAAAAAAACGTTCTATAAATTTTAATAAATCAGGAAAATAATAATGTTATAATAATTTTTCAAATACAACATTTTAATAGAAATATAAAAATATTAGGTATAAGTTATGTGTTAAAATATAATTATATGAAAATAATAATAAAAAATAAATATTAAATATTTTATCAACATAAAATATATTTAACATAATACGCTTTGAAAAACGATTTGCAATTAAATTTGCTTATAAATAATAAAACTCGATGTGATAGAATCAATTTACAAATAATTTTGTATATCACATGTCGAAAATTATTCAATTACCTGTCCAAGCAACTGTAACATTTCCGTTAAGTGTACTTATACAAGGCTCATGCGATTGTTCCGTTTTTTCTGCTGCTATAACAACACAATTGCTCCCAACTACTCCAACCTTATTTAAAAAAATATTTCAACAATGAACTTGTTTCAAAAAAATGTTTAATACTTACAACTACGTTGTTAAACATTACATCAGTAGTGTTACAGTCAAGCATGTTGATACAAAAATAAATTCAATAGTATGATAAATAAAGTACAAAAACTTAAAATATAAAAAATAATAATTAGTTTAAATCGAAACAATAAATGTTAAGAAGATGATTTTCAATTTTTATTCATATAATAATAAATTTTTGTCATCATCAATTAATTTCGCCATAGATACAGATACATAGTGACATAAATATGAAACTTATCTATCCATAGAAACAAGATTTATTGATTAGATTAAATTGGTCAATTTATTTAATGATAGACCATGTAATAAATTATAAGCCACATATTTTGCATCTAATTAAAGATGTTTTATGAACGTTTTGTATTAAGTTGTTTTATGTATTCATTTCAAATTAATACATAGAACATGATAAAATAGTATAACACATAATAATTTAATGTTTTGGGTAGTAAATTATCTTATCTATAAAGTCATATAAGCACACAACAACCGAAAGGAACTCTAGAATTGATCAAAAATGGTTTACTATTTCTTAAAATGAATAGTTAGCGAAAAAAAATGAATTTCCTTCATTTGAGTTTTATGCGATTAATTGGTACATTGTTACTTTATTATTAGCATAGATTTTTAAATAAATAGGTTGATAATTTGAAATTATAATATATTACCAAATTTATCACATTATGAATAATTAATTTAGTAGTCTACACAATATATATATACACATAGAATGTCCAATGATACTCTGATAAATCAACATACTATTGTTATGAAAAATTGTCAAACATCGTGAATACCCTATCTTTTTTTAAACACACCATTAATAAAATCTGTGATAAATAAAAAAAAATGAATAACAATAGACCTACTCATATATAATTATATAAAAAATATGAAATTTGCCTACTAAGTAGTAGCACGCTTAATTTTTAATCATGTCGAACGTGTTTTTCATTTACATAAAAATCCAATGTTAATTCAAATTACTTACCCTAATAGTTGTTTTGTAATATTCACAGGTTATCACTCAATTATTTATATATATATTTAGGATTTATAACGTAAATAATATTATTATATTTTAATATTTTGAATGTAACACTATACTGAATAATACTATTTTCGCGAATTTCAAATAATTCAGAAAATAATATTGAGAACTTTTTACCTAAGCAGAAGGATGAATACATCCAAAAATCTCTAGTGATAAAAATAACAACTATGCCTCACCTTCAACAACTACATTAAATTGTTAATAACTTCAAAAATAACTAGTCCATAACTAAACCTAGTTCTTTTTTATTTAAATAATTTTTTAATAAATAAGCTAATTAATTATATATGTTAAATAAAAACAATTGCTACCATTTTAAGACACAAGGAATGAACATAACAAATAATTCATAATTGATAAGTTAAGAACAACTAATAACTTAAAGAAACCAAAAAAACCCTTCTCAATATAGTTTTATCTTTCGATTAATTTAGTAGACACGGTAATAGAATCACTGTATATTTTTTTATTAAAGCCATGATAAAAATTTTTTAATGACTATTATAACCACTAAGTCTATTAAAAAAATGTTAAATAAAAATTTCATTCGTGAAATAAAGTTTATCATCTTACATACATCTTGTATATTGTCTAACACAATGGAAAATAAAATAACTTATTACATCTATTGTAGTATGTGGAAAAGTAGATTATTTTATATTTCATGAACAATAAAATACTGATAAATTTTTAATTTTACTCTTAAATTTTATTTTATTATTTTAAAGTTTGGTACGTTAACTTTAAATATTAGTCATTAAATAAAACATAATTTTTCTTTTTTTTGTAAAAATAAATTCTAAAAAAATATTTTGGATTTAATTGTGAATAATTAAATTTTAAGTATGTTAAATTGAAAATATCGGTGTAATAACGTGGCCTCATGGAAGAATTATAAAACTTTACGACTTAAATTTTCATAAAGAGTTTGTATTGAACAGATGAGTAAAATTTCAAAACGCCTTATACCGTCTTAAACCCAACCGTATTAAATTTTCAATTTTGATTATAAATGGTCATAAGTAATACAATTTTATCAAAACATCTTAATCAATCAAAACAACATTTTAATAATTTTTTTGCTGCGTTGACATTTTTTATTGCTTTATTTGTTTGGTGTAAGTATAAGTTCAAGTTTCTTATCATTTTATTTTTATTGAAATGCATGGAAAAGAAGAAATTTAACACTAACAACCGTTAATAACTTATTATGATATAATTATTAGCTTTAATTATTTGGTTAATGAAATTCTACAAATTTTAGATATTTTATATAAAAAGCTATACAATTATAATGCCCCCCAAAATTGCGTGTGTACTTGGATTACTGATTAAAAAAAATTCCGTTCCTTATCAATTTTGAAACCAGTATTTTGGATTTTATTATCACTTTAATGTATGACTAAATGTAAGGCGCGAGTCTGTTTTTATCTCTAAGTATTTGTGATTCACTCAAATATCCCACTGATAAAAATACTATTATACAAGAGTTGTTATAGATCGGTCATTTTGTTAATTAAATCATTATATTATTTACAACTAATTAAACATAAATGTTGTTATTTTATTAAAAACAAAAGTTGACAAATTTTTAAGAAGGAATGAAAGGAGTAGAATCAATTTTTTTATTGGCATTCTAAAGCTCAAGATATTAATATTCTGAGAAGAAAAAATGATTTTATGATTGATACTTTAAATTTTATTACACGAGTCATAGTTAAACAACAATCTCTCTAAATATTGAGATTATTATTGTAGAATCATAGAATGTCTTTTTTTATCGAAGTATTATAATACACACTCCACTCATAAAATCAAAGGTAAATGATTTATGTGAATGATTAAGATGTATTAATATAAAACAATATGTAATAAATTAATACATTCAGTTAACAAAGAGATAATAGTAGCGTTGCTGACATTTATGGATATGTATACAATTATAAGATTAACAAAAAATAATAGGCCTAAAATGTGCTTAGAATTTTCTAAATTCATACTCATCATTCTCTATCTTCAGTTATCAATCATTCGACTAATTTACAAGAAGTGGCCGATAATATTAAAATTTATATTATGTAAAAAAAGCAATGTATATTTCAAGTTTATCCTGAACATTATGGTAAATACTTATATTAAGCAGAAAATAAAAAAGCTTTAAAGTTAAATATTTCGAGTACATAATTTAAAATTAGGGATTAAGTGATTATTAAAAATAAAATATTAATTGAATTAAAGTAGTAATGTTTATACGGTCCTAAATACCAAAATTAGACCATTAGTACATATCTATACTAGAAACCAAGTTAAAGATTCTATACAGCTACCATATGTACATCCACAATCAACTCCGGATAGGAACTTTAAGTGATTCTATCCCATCTATCAATGATAACTATCAGTGTTAACGGCATTACTAGATAAAAAATGTGAGAATTAATCACAATAATTTTTATATTAAAAAATAAAGATCAGTAATCTTTTCTTCTTCATAATTAATCTTAAAAACCCATGTATTGGATACTATGAGCGTTGCGAATTCAACCTGCACGACATTCATACTGTGCTATACTCATTCGTGTCTGATGGGTAATGCATAATGCATATTGTCATATAACTCGCTCATTATCAAGAAATATATAATATCTATCAATAAATTGTAATCAAATCATTTCAACTAACACTCCTCCTTCATTTATACGATACTTAAAGATAATAAATGTAATGAATTACACTAGTGGCGCGGTCCTGCAGTTTAGTTAGACACTACTAATGATTAATGCCGTTTAGTATACGGCAGGTAGATGACGTGCAACCTTTTTATTAATTGTATGTGACAACTAATTTTGTTTTTATTTAAATTTATTATTTATACGAGTTTTTTAATTTATAATTTATATTTTATTATATGCAAATATCTGTCTGTAGTAAATAAATCCAAATGAAATATCTTTCTATTATATCATTTATACCGCTTAGATCTTTAATAATGTCAAATTTATTAACTTGATACATTATTTTTTATTGATAATAAATTAGGAATAATTAAAATGTCGATTTTAGGGTTCTTAACCAAGGAGTTAAACCCAAATGTCTTTCTATTTCTGACAGTACGGAAAAGGGGGAAATACTTGTTAAAAAAATTAAATTAATATTTTTAAATATATATATATATATTTGTGAATAGTTATACACAATTAAATGATTATTAAAATAGAATATAATAACGCATGTGTCCTCACTTTACATATAATTACTATTATGTACAGATGTGGACAGACACTAACAAAAAACACATCATAGTAAAACTAATATTTTCTCAGTTTTCTATTGAAGCTAAGGAAGCATATAAATATATATTTATTTTTTTATACTCGTACCTTCATCAAATTTTTATTTTGGCATCACTTATTCAATGTTAATACATTACCTGTATTCTTTTTTTATTTTTTTGACAGCTGTATTATTTTTTAATTCCCCATTTTTTAAACGACACTTACATATTGAAAATAACAATAAACTTTGTTTCGTACTATGCAAAATGACTAAAAATCGGACGTTACTCAGATGCCTTCACAAAAAAAAATCATAGCTGAATAATATTATGATAGATATTTTCCACTATTGATGATCGACTATGATAATCGCAATGCTTAATCGACCGTCTGCCACTTGCAATGCTCAATCAATTAATCTTTGTCAATTGCAACGTTCATCAAACCGACTGCCAATTGCAGTAAATTTTTAAAATCGCTTTAATAAACTGTAAACAAGGAACCAAAGTGTCAACATGCACAACTTTTACATTAACAATTCAATCACAGGTACATGCACAATAAAAATAGTGACCGTGAAACACAAGAGGCCCACTGTCACATAAATCGACTTCTATTTGGTAGCGTATACTATGATAGTAGGACACAGTGGCGACCAACTGATATGTTTGACATTTGATGGTGCTAACAATATGTGTTACTAATATTATATACAATTTGCCATTTTAATTAGTGAAAAAACTGCCATTATTTAAAATAATTACCGTCAATGTATATAATAAGGAATACGTCCCAAAAAATACGAGTAATGGAACAACTATTTTCTTTAGTTTTTACTGTATATATTGTCTGAATGTTGATTTTTTGCCTGTCTTCATTTTATTAGCTATTAAAATGTGACGCCTAAGGTACAAAATTCCCTCAATATAAATAAAAAATTTTATATTTATACTAAACTATTATATTTGACTTATTTTTATAAAGTTGGCATCAAGAGCACAATTTGTAGCGTGCAACTCTTTTAATAAAGTTTATGTGTTGCTTATATACTTCAATGTACGTAGAAGGTAGAAGGATTAGAGTGAATATAAATACACTTGTATAATGAAGATAAATCTTATGAAAAAAATGTTAAATATTTTGAAAAATCAATCGTAAACGTATCTAGAGGCACTTTTCTATCAAAAATTTAGGAGGTTAGCGAGTGTAGCGAAGCGTCTAAGAGATCCAACTATGATAAAACCATAGATGGTGAACATAAAACACAAATATACGACAAATTATACAATACACGTCAAGTATTAATGACACAGTACTATTGACAAATTAATAAGGGCGTGCTGATAAAAATTTGTGTAAATAATAGTGGAGCGATTGGCCACTATAATTATGACTAAGGTGAATAGAACAATAAGGGTATACACTAATCATGTGAATAATGATTGGTGTATAATAAAACGATGGCTAAAACAAAAATAATAATAATCGATAATAATTGACAATAAGAGACAAGATAAGTTTACATATAATAGTGTAAAGTTGTGTCAAAAGTGTATGGATGTTCGCCGTGGAAACGATGTGCGGACATGACCGAACCAGATGCACATCAACACTATGGGAGGTGGAACGTCAGGGTGTTAGAAATTGCCTTTCTCTCTACACAACATAATTAAAGGGTAATAAAGAGGATAGATCACTCTAAAACAAAAATAATTACATTATAATGATATAATTTTATTTTGGTTTATCGGGGTAGTAAAAAATATTCTTATGTGTTTTCGCCAGCTGAAAAAGACCATAATTATGGTATTTAAACAAACATGACATTGAATATATATATATATATAATCGTTCAAAGTAGTCAAACATAACTCTCTTTAATATTTTACCTATTTAATTTTGTTATTTTTAATCTCCTAGTTTCATATATAATTAGTATGAATTTACATACAAGATCTATACATATATATATATATATATAAGGGTAAATTTTATATATATCAGAAAGATTAAAAAGATGAAAAAAAATGTATTTATTTTTAATTTTTGGCTATTTCAAAAATTTCTTTTACATAAATATAATTTTATAGTTATACCATGACCAAAACATGTGTTTTCTTAAGAAACAATAATAATTTATTAAAAACGTAATTTTTTAAACATTTTATCAAAATTAGATTGGGGTTCAGATGATTTAAGGTAATTGTATATTGCATTTTGTTTTATAAATGCACAAGTTTTTATCTCGAACTTGCATTTAATATGATAGGAACACATATAAAGAACAGGACTTCTCATTAAAATAACATTTACTAAATATGAAAAATCAAAATTACATTTACTTCACTTTATCCTATTTACGCAAACTAATATACGAGGTGTGATAAAAAAATACCCGGATTTTTCAAATAAAACTTTATTAACTCAATATTATTCTGTATACACATTATCACCTTCAAAATAATCACCCTGGGAAGCAATACACCGCTGCCATCTTCTTTTCCACTTTTGAAAACATTCCTGGTAGGCACTAATTGGAATGTCCTTTAAATCGATTTCCGTATTTTGTTTCATGTCATCAATTGTTTGAAAACGACGTCCTTTGAGCGTAGATTTTAACTTGGGAAACAAATAAAAGTCGCATGGGGCAGATTGAATGAGTATGGTGGTTGTGGAAATATTGGAGTCTGGATTTTCGCTAAGAACTGACGAATGAGCAATGAGCTGTGAGCCGGGGCGTTATCGTGATGCTACATCCAAAAACCACTTTTCCAATTTTCTGGCCTTTTTTTTTTAACATTCTCACGTAATCTTTTCATGACTTCTAAATAAAAATGCTGATTTACTGTAAGTCCTTGAGGCACCCATTCACGATGAAGTATACCACGAAAATAAAAAAAGGTGATTAACATGGCTTTCACATTTGATCTCGCCTGCTTTGCTTTTTTTGGTCTTGGGGAATTTGATGACTTCTACTGGGACGTCTAGGTCTAGGTCAATTTCTGCTCTTTCAAAAAGTTCTTGAGAGATGGTCATTCGGTTATGTTTTTGTTCATCGGTTAAGAGACGAGGAACAAATTTGGCTGCGATTCGGCTCATGCCCAATTTTTTGGTTAATATTTCTTGGAAAGAACCATAAAATATTCCGACGTCTTGTGTAACTTCTCTGATAGTTAATCGACGATTATTTCGAATAATTTCACGAACAAGAGCAACAATTTCATTTGTTTTACTGATCAAGGGTCTACCAGGTCGTTCGTTATCCTTAATGGTATGTCCTACCATCCTTAAACCATTTAAACCACTCAAAACATGTTGTCCAAGACAGAACATCATCTCCAAAAGCTTGCTTCAAAAGTTCAAAAGTTTCGCTAGAACTTTTCCCTAATTTTACGCAAACACGTTCTTCTATTGTTTCCATTTTGAAAATCAACGCATGATTGAAACATGTTTTCGTAAAAATGTTATTATTGATTTCAAACAAATGCTCAAATTCTCGTTAGAAGTTAATTTATTTAATGTAATTATTGGAATTTCGTTATCTTAATTGATATAAAAATTATTGACACAGTCCGGGTATTTTTTGATCACATCTCGTACTTTTAGGATAAACTAACGATTATGCTAATGAAAAATTTAAATAATTGTTTTCCTCCTAACAAAATCCTCGTACAATTGTAATTAGTTGTTATTGAAAGTTGGTTATAATATTCAGTTAGATAAAGTAAAAGCCTTGATATAAAGTGAAGTATGAATTTTTAACAAATATTTAATGATTATAATTTTATTGGTTATAATTTTTACAGGAGCAGAGCAAATTTTTTGACATTAACAAAAATATGATGAAACCAAAATCTAAACATACAATAAGACATATCTTAGAAATGCCTTCTATTTTACCACCATCAAAACGACCAGCTGCAAAACCACCAGATGAATACTGGCCTAAAAAAAGAAAACTTATTCTTCCTCCAGTTAATAAACAGGTATGAAAATTATTTTACTTTTAGAAATAAATTAAAAGCTATCTAGTGTTCAAACTTTTTATTATCGTGTAACTTAGGTCTAGCGCTATCTATTGCCCATATAATAATGAAAGTTTTGTGAAAATCAGTAGTTTCAAAAATATTTGCAATATCTAGGGGTAGCTTTAAAACTTAAAAGTTTGAACTGTGTTGCGCTAGATAGCAGCACGCAGACAATTGTATAATTTATTATTAAACAGTTATTATATTTTTACGTACTTATAGTTTATACAGGTTTGTTTTGAAGGAGTAAATAAATAATTTGACTTTATTTAAATTGCGATATAAAAATAATTATTAAAATAAGTTATTGACAATTTAATATTTTTTTTTAAAAAAATACATTAGTAACATTTATATGATATTCAAGAAAAGTTTTTACGACGTACTTACACTAATTTACAAATTTTAGAATACTATTCATTGAAATATTGATATTAATTTTACTAACTCAAAATATTCTTTATTTTTAATTAATAAATGATGTCATTTATCCATATTTTCAGAGCTTATTAAAAATTGAATGACTAAATAAAGGGCGTCATTCTATCTAAATGATTGATAAACAATTGATTTACTATACAAACTACTGAATCATGATTAAACAAAATTTAAATGCCAAAAATATAATATCTCGATGATCTGTTAGATGAGTTTAAAACTAGTCATTCACTGTATATTTATATAGAATTCTTAATTATTAAGATATACACAAGGCTACATTTTAGATGATAACGATCAGTTTTACATCCTTTTATTCCCGAACTTAACATGTTACAGGAGGGGGGTGGTCTCCATGTTAGGGAGTCAAGATGGTTCTTGGGTAAACCAATGATGGACGGGACGGGGATTATCTGGCTTGCACCAGACACCAGATACCATCAATGAGAAAATCATAAGAAAGATCTCGTTAGCACCCTTTAATTTTATGGCTTAGTTCATGTTTGAAAAATCTTTGTTGAAAACGAAATTTTTTGTTTACTAAGTTTTACTAAGTTTTGTGGTATACTAAGTATACCACAAATGCAGTATACTTTATATCGTACTTTTTTCATAATACATTTTGTTAAAATCATAAACCACAGAGGTGCTGTGAATGACTTATTGTATTTTACTCACACGTGTATTATTTTAATTAATATTTCTGTCATTTTTGATTAAACAATAAGCAAAATTATATCATGAACTTCTTTGTATACTAACCAGGTAATTAGCCTGTATTGTATAGTAAATTTTAAAGTTTTTGTAATTTTTCGATATAGGCGAGGAAGTGCTCATTGTAGAAATAAATTTATTTCTGAGCGTTATGATAAAAATAAAGTGTCGTTAACTACTAGCCTACTCTTTACTTTTTCTAAAACTTTAAGAGCTAATATCTTAAAAGGTAATAATAGAGAACTAGTTATCAACCAGTCAACATTTTATTCTCCATTTAATAGTAAAAAATAATAACAGATTCGCATTTAAATCTCAAAAGTTATCCCTAAAATTTATTTTAAAAAATTAAGAATAAACATTTTTTATTACAATTGACTTGAAATTTTCTATGATTTATAAAACTTAATTTTACATTTTATGTGTTTATAATAATATATTTGTACACAAATCTCCATTTCTATGAAAACATCATAATTCAAAAATGGGAGAGGGTAATATAATTAATAAATCACACTGTATATTCAAATGAACAAATAATATTAGTTACCAAAGAACATAATGACATAATATTTTTTCAAATAGCAACTTACATAATTAACTAGTTTTTTTAATATACGAACTTTATTACGAGAATAACAGCTTGATAACAACTTTTGAACCAGTTTATTAAAAGTTATTGACTTTTTTACGTAGATGGGAGGGAGAATACGATCGTCAAATGACAAGTAATAATAACAACAACATCCATGACATTACTATAAAATGTTAATTACTTCAGATACTAGTCCAAAAGTTAATTTCGACGAATCATTTTCTTAATTATTTCATTGTCTGTTAAATAAACTAGTTAATTATGTATTTTATCTTTTGAAAAAATAAAGTTCACATCTTTCTAAAGTATAAAAAATGAACATTTTATAATCTAAAAAAAACTTTTATCTAAAAGATATCATGAAAATTTCTCAATATAATTTTTCTTTATCGATTGATTTAACGGTCCATGGTAAATGATTTACTCCTTATATAAGTAATTCGTTTCTGAGTTCATCTTTGTAGAGATAATTACTAGTCCGTAGTCGAATCTATAATGATGATATGACTTATTTTCCATTTGTTCTTATCATTTATAATTGTTGTTTTTGTTATTCATCTTATTATATTGGTTGTTGTTTTTATCATTTTGTAGTTGTTTCTTCATCAATTTTTAGTAGTTATTTAAGAAAAAAAATTGATCAAAAAGTTATTTATATCAACATTATTAAGGATTTTAAATATCTGATTCTTGATCTAACTTTTTCTTTAACTTCACTTTTACTTTATTTGTTATAATTTTAGCTATTTTGTTACATTATTACTATTCAATATGGTAAGCAATTATTTACTTTTTACAGTATTTTTTAGGGATAACTTGGAATAGTAGTCAGTATTAGCAGATTATGATATTGATTAACAATATTTTGTAAAAAAAATCATTAAACTTTATATTTGATATTGTTTTTATTTTAATAGATTGTAATTGAATATTTATTTCTTTATTAAATATTTTCTATACAACTTTAATAAACAGTGTGTATAGCATTTGCTATATTTTTATTTAGTAGTAAATATTAAAAGTGTTTTAATAAATTATGTTTTGAGAAAATTTTGTTTTAAATTATTCACAAGAAAATAGAAACTTATTTAGGTTTAAGGAAAAGAGGGAAAAGGCTAAGAAAATGATTACTAAATGAAAACTAGGAAGATGTCTGAATTTTATCTAAATAAAAGACTAATTATTTCATACTTCTTTAGACAATTATTCTCTTAATATATTTATTCCATCTTGATGACTTTTTGATTTTCTATTCCTGTTAATGATGGGTATGAAATAACTTGATCATACATTTTTACGCACATGTACATTTAACTTTTTTAATTCTATTTCAAAGCATTAGACATGGATATAAAAAGAAACTTAATATATTATAAGTTAAAAAAAATATATTCTAAAGATAATTCGAAAAAATTGTTCAAAATAATAATTATTTCAAGAAAATTTGAGCAGTAAATTATAAATTAACTATTTCTCTTAAATCATCTCATTAGGCATTTTTTCATTTAAGTTACCAAAGTTAGTAACCTATTAAGCATACTAATCTTAAATAAAAATTCTAACAAACAACATCATTACATTTGATCTATTTAAATTTCTTTCAGACATTTTTATGAGTTTTAAGAAATACTTATATTACATAATAAGTTTTTCATCATTTAATGAAATTCAAATTAATTTTAAAGAAAAAATTTAAAAGTCAATTTTTCTTTAATACCAATATGTTATTGTAGTTTTTCTTCAATATTCAAAAGTTTTTTCCTTTTAAATTGTTTGGCGAAGCTTATCCAAAGTGTTTTCTGTGCATTCTCTTGGAATTGGATTGATGCTTCATAGAAATCTTCGCCCTACATGCAATAATTCGAAATGGGCATGAAGCGTAGCCATCCGTGAAATTTATGGCATCGCGCAGAAATAAGTCTTATTGTAGAAAAACAGGTTAAATGTTTTGTAATCTCTATAAAATTGAATTTATCTAACCGTCGGTAGTGTTCTATGGAATGATATGGTAATAAAAAACAGGAAACAATAGCTTAATAAAAAATTGCATAAAGGCCAAGAATATCAATGAAATTAAACTTAGATACTGTCCAAAAATATTACTCTCAAGACACTTTAAACCTTATAACTTTTTATAACGTTTTATATTTGATTTATTGATTTTTTTTAACCATTGTGTGACGGAGAGGAAGTATATTTTTACATTTAATATACACTGTAGAATAAATAAAAAAAGTCTGTAATTTTTCAAGGTATATTTCACTATGTTTAATTTTATTGGCTTAAATAATTTTATGTAATTTATAAAATTAAGTACGGTTTCCAAAAAAAAATGGTATTAGTTTTGTAATAATATGTGTATTTTTATGTTTGTCCTTAAAAATGTTTGGCTCTTACCAACAATTATAGTGATCAATATATGAAAAAAACCCGTTTTTAATTTAGTTGACAAAAAATTGAAAAAAACTCATTTTTAGGAATTTAAAAAAATATCTCAAAATTATGCTACTATAAAAAGTAGAATAAAAAAAAAATCTGCATTTTAAATCTGATGTTACTTTTTTTAACTCTAATTAAATTAAAATTTAATAGATTATAATAGAAACTACGTGAAATTGGTAGTCACAACAAAAAAATAAAGTTATATTCATTTAAATCAATAATTTGACAAGCATTTAATATTCGAGTAAAATTCTAGACCTTAGAGATTATAAAATTAAAAATACACAAATTAAGAAATTCAACAGATTTGCATCGAAATTTATTTTGTAATAGTGATGCTAATCACTGTCGGATCATCTGTAATTTTACGTCTAAACTTAGCCGCGACCCCATTGTGCTGGTTTTTTTATTATACATAACTTGTAATACGTTAAAGATATGTCAATTCGTTTTTTAATAATATTTTTTATTTTTAACATCTTTAAAATCTATTGCTTTTGCTATAGAAAATGGGAAAACCTACATAAACAGCGCAACGATTTCGAATCATGATACCTACGCACTGAGCACGACACGTTTTTCAGTTGGTAACGCGTTCAGTCAACTAGGTTGGCTGCCTAAAGTTTAGTTATTTAATAAATATTATAATTATAATGATAATCATACATTTTTTTATTTAGATAAAATGTATAATCTCTTATTTCCTTTTTATGCAATATTAAAATAATTTTTAATTTCAATTATAGCAAAAAATATTTTTAACAATAGT